ATCAAATTCTAGCCTCGATCTCTTAAGGTTCTTCTATTCTTTGTTCTTCTTGCATTTGTAGAAATTTTATTGTGTATTATTCAATAGTTTATAATAAAAAATATATAGCAGTTTTCAAAGTTTTTTCCAACATTCAGAATTTGTTAGTGTAGATTATTTTGATTTCTTCACAACATTTGACCATCTCTTGTGGCTTAGATTCCATTTCTTGTGTATTTTCTTGGGTATATGCCAAGACCACCTATATTGAGCGATGTGTTTTATCGGAGGAACTTAGGGCCATCTTTAATTCTCATGGTCACACACCTTGGATTGTGCTTGGAGATTTTAATTGTGTTTTGGGTGCCCGTGAAAAAAAGAGGAGGTGTTCTCCCTAATCTTTGCTCGAATTCAAACTATGTTTATTGAATGTGGTTTGCTTCACTTTCCAACAAAAGATCTCCCTTTCACTTTGGTACAACGAGGCCTATAAAGGAGTGTTGAAATGCTTTTGAATAAATGTGTTGGTTATTTAATTTGGTTATTTAATTGGGTTCATTCATGGCGTTCTTCTGAGTGCAGTAGTTTGCCTTGTATATCTTCATATCATTGCCCACTTCTTATGTCTTTTAGTCGGGTATCTGTGGTGCCAAGAGTTCATTTTCCCTTTCAGAAAATGTGGTTAGAAAGCTCAGATTTTATTCTATTGGTTTCTGAGACATAAGCTGGGCTCCACTTTTTTTGGAGATGTCAACTATGATGTGGATAATTCTTTGCATGATTTGGAAGTAATACAGGAGGAAACTACTTGTCTTGTTCTCTGATGATAGATTTGCACGAGAAATGCAAGCCCAAGGGCTTGTAAATGAGGTTCTTTGATTACAAAAATGCATTTGAAGGATAAATCACGAGTTCTTTGGTTATCTCTAGGGAATGGGAGTACTAATTTTTTTCACTCTATTGTGAAATTCAAAAAGCTTCATCAATCTTTGGCATTAGTTTGTGTGGGTTTCATATATTGGATGATTCGGTCTCTATACAAGATCACATCGTGACACATTCGAATTGGATTGGTGTGGCTGGGTTTTAAAAAGGTTCTCCCTATAATCTCTTCACATTTGATTTGGATTGTAGGTGATGGTTCTCAAGTTTTGTTTTGATCTAATCATTAGTTAGGCAGTCTTTTGATTTCCTATCTTAACACCTCTAATGCTCTTGCTTATACAATCAAAGCACGAGTGAGAGACTTTATATGTGGTTCTCATTGAATTGCCGCTGAATTTCATTAAATTTTTTTTTCTTCTGAAGTTGCTTCTTTAATTATAGCTACTCCTATAATGTTTTAGACATCTTCCGATTCTTTATGTTGGTGTGAATCTCTCTCTGGTATTCTTACAGCTAAAGAGGCTTATTCTCACTTGCTTAACTTTGGTATCCAAGTGCCTTGGAGAAAAAGGTCTCATCATATTCAACCAAGGCAAAGCCTAACTATTTTGGAAAGTTTTTACATGGTCGTCTCCTCACTGATACGGTGCCTCAACTTATGGGAGTTTCGATAGTTTCTCGTTGCTCATTTTTGTAATTTAGTTGTTGAGTCTCTATCTCACATTATTTTTTTGGAACGTTCTTAAACTGTTGGTCTTTGGTCTTGGTTGTTAGAGCTTTTTCATCATCCTTATCTAGTGGTTCAATCAGTATCTTTTCTAAAACTTTTTCTTACATCTTTTCCTAGTTCTAATCGAAAACTTTGGATTATAGTGGCTTGTACTTTTATTGGGGACTTTGGTTTCTTCGCAATCAAATTTGGTTTGAGGGTAAGTCTATTGTCCTAGATTATACGTGGCTAGCTGCTCGGTTTCGTGACTTGGCTCTAGTGTGTTTTTCAAGTGGTAGGTCATCCTCTTCAGTGTTGCCTATTTTCTCAATATGGGTATCTCGCTGCTTTCTATTGTGGCTCCATTCTTTATTCCAGTCATCTGGAGGTTGCTAATGGTCGGGTGGCTCAAGGTTAACATCAATGGATCTTGTGCCAATGAACATGCTAGATTTTGGGGGATTTTTCGCTCATTAAAAGGTAGGGCACTTGGTGCTTTTGCATCAAACAAAAAATTCGTAAGTTTAGTTGCTACATAAATTCCTTCTTTCATTGAGGCTGTGAGTATAGCGTCAGAGATTGGAAACATTTATGGATTTTTAAGGCTCCTAAAGTGGTCCGTGGTTTGTTACAGTAGATTGGAATAATTGTCTTTGGCAACTTTGTCAAATGCGATTTATGTGTACACACATTTTATAAAGAAGGAAATTAGGTTGTAGATGCTTTAGCTTCGTTTGGGGCAATTAGTTATGCAAATTATTGGTTGTTTACCATTCCAGATTTTGTAGCCTCTGCTCATACTCGTGACATTTTGTTTTGTCTTTAGTATCGTTTTTGTTGATCCTTTTCTTGTCTTTGTGGATATTAGCACAATGCCCTTGCTAATATCTTTTTCATTTATTTTTATTTGTTATCAATAAATTTGGTGGATGATGGACATGAGAGGAGTTTTTGGGTGTAATGGTCCTCACCCCTTTAGGGTTTTTGGGAGAGTAGGAAATTACTTGGTCTATTTTAAAAATCACTCTAAACCTGGTAGGTGTAAAATGCAATTGACCTTTCATAGAATTATTATCGTTGCACATTTGTAATCAATTAGGGAAGCAAGTAGTATATCAACCTACTAGTCCTTCCTTATTAAAAATTCTCACTAACGAAGATGAAGGTCTATAAACCTATATTGATTTGCTCATCTCCGATCCATAATACGTCACGACAAAGTTGGCCGCTTTGTTCACTTATTCCTTTGATTTGGTGGGCTCATTAAACTTTCTGAGTTTTTTTTTTACTTTTTTTTTTGTACAGTTTGCTCCATAGTTCTATTCCCAACACGAGTAGTGGAGGCTTTGAACTATGTGTCGTTTATCTTGACGTTTTGAATTTCAATTTTTGTTTTTTAATATTTTATGTTTTAATTTGATATTCTTTTATATATATATATTTAAGGAAGTGTTATTGGCACTCCAAAATCTCATTCTACACTTCTCACTAAGTGTACTTTTATTTCCAAATATAGAAAGTTTGGAGTGTAGAATGAAATTTTTGGAGTGCCTATAACAATTCCCTATATTTATAAAGATTTTGTATTAAAAATAGAGTTTTTCCTTGATATAATGGTAAATTAGTAAATTTATAAGCAGATTTTTTATTCAATGAGTTATTTAAAAGTGAATTGAAACTTGAGAGGTGGTGTAATGTCTCAAGCAAGAAAGAGTTTTGTAAACACTTGATAAACCTGCCACTCAGGATTAGAGTGCGTTCTTCAGTTGTAAGTGAGAGATTTTATATTCGAATCTCGTGGATGACAAATCGATACCAAATTAAATTGTCAATTATGTGATTTAGCCGAATTCTCTTCCTTTAATGTAAAACATATCGTTATACTTAAAAACCACTCGATAAACCACATGGTGTATTAATATAATTAAGGGTTAATTACAAAAAACTACCTCAAGTATGGGTCAAATGACACTTTCATACCTCATCTTTTAAAATTGACAATGTCATACCTCATCTTACGAATTTGTGTCAATGTTATAACCTTCCGTTAGTTTGGCCGTTTCTCAGTTAAATGCTGACGTGGTGATCTGGGACCCATTTTATTAAAAATTAATAAAAAAAATCATTTAATATTATTTAAATATTAAAATAATAAAGAAAAATTATTTAAAAAAAAAAAAAAAAAAAAAAAACCAACGTCAGTTCTCTTCCCCCTCTCTCCCTTCTCCCATCTTCATCTTCTTCCCCTTTCTGCAACTACAACCCAGAAAAACAGAAGAGAAAAAAAAAAAAAAAAAAACTAATTTGTTTTCCTTGCTCCTCACCCCCTCTTCTCCCCACATCCACGCACCCAACCTCCCCACCTTCGCACCCCAACCTCGCACCCACCATCTACAACCCCTAAAAAAAAAAAAAAAAAAAAAAAAAAACCCAGAAAAAAAAAACCCATTCTCCTGGGCGAGGAGAAAATGGGCAACGGGGGTCCGCGCGGGGGGGGGGGGGAGAGTGGGGGTGGGGAATGGGTGTGGAGAGGAGAGGGTGGGTGTGAGGGGGGCGAACTGGGTTGCTGCTGTTTGTTTTTTTTTTTTTTTTTTTTTTTTTTCTTCTTCTTCTTCCCCTTCTGCAGAGGACGAACTGGGGTTTTTTTTTTTTTTTTTTTTTTTTTCTCTTCTTCTTCTTCTTTCTCCTTCTTCTTTTCTGGGTTGCTGGGTTGCAGGAAGATGATGGGGAAGAGAGAGGGGAAGATGCACGAAATAACCATGGACCTATAGAAAAAAACCCAGAAAAAAAAAAAAAAAAAAAAAAAAAAAGCCCAGTTCGGCCCCCTGCAGAAGAAGAAGAAGAAGAGGGAAGAAGAGGGAAGAAGAACAAGAGAGAAGAACAAGAGAGAAGAACAAAAAAAAAAAAAAAAAAAAAAAAAAAAAAAAAAAAAGAAGCCCAGTTCGGCCCCCAGAAGAAGAAGAAGAAGAAGAGGGAAGAAGAGGGAAGAAGAAGAAGAGAGAAGAAAACAAAAAAAAAAAAAAAAAAAAAAAAAAAAAAAGAAGCCCAGTTCGGCCCTGCAGAAGAAGAAGAAGAAGAAGAAGAAGAAGAAGAAGAGGGAAGAAGAAGAAGAGAGAAGAAAAAAAAAAGGGTATTTATTATTTTAATATTTAAATAATATTAAATGATTTTTTTTGTTTTTAATAATTTTTTTAATAATTTTTTAATAAAAATGGGTCCCGCATCAAGCCACGTCAGCATTTAACTGAGAAATAAACGGCCAAGCTAACGGAAGGTATAACATTGACACAAATTCGTAAGATGAGGTATGACATTGTCAATTTTAAAAGATGAGGTATGAAAATGTCATTTGACCCAAACTTGAGGTAGTTTTTTGTAATTAACCCTATAATTAACTCTTTTTTGGTTCAAACAAAATAAAGAAAGTATTATTCTTCGGAAGAAAAACCACTCAGAAACGTTTCCCCGAGATAAAAAGCACAAAACTGCAAAAACATGAGGCCGATCTGGTCGTTGTCTTGTTTAAGTGAGAGAGCGTCGGGGATCAGTTAAGTGCCCCTCGTAATCCCTCAATCGAGATAGCCAGTTATGTCTTCAATGGAAGAAACACCTTCCCCTCCAAAGCGTCGATTGTTGTGCGCCACCTATTTCGACGCCCTCTGGTTTTTGCATTCTCTTCCTCTTTCATTTCAGTTGAATTAATTTCACAATTGTACGGCTGGCTTTTGCTACGATTTCCTTCAAATTTGTGTACTTTTAGGCTCTTATAACTTCATTTTGAATTCAACAGAAACATGCGTTTTGCGTAATTGTTCATAAAATGTTTTATATATGGTCGAATTCGACTTGGTTTTATTGAATTTCTGGTGAAATGTTTTTACTGCCAATTTAGTTACTGCCCACAAATGAAGTTTGGTAATTTCTGGCAATTTCACTGCTGCCCACTTAAAAAAGCTTCAAACTTGATAGTCTTACAAGCTTATAAAAGCAAATTCTTGGTGGGTTTATTTTTTATTTTATTTTTGACAATCAAATTTTGTGGATGATTCTTTGTGTCAGTGAAGCTTCAAACGTCTTTAAATCTTATTGCTAATTGTTTTTGACATCAACATTTTATTTCTTTTAGATGTTTGCTATATTACTCATTCTATTTAGGGGTTGTTTCTTAGCGTCTGTTTATTATTATCTCTTGCATTTAATCTGATGGGCACTCGTGTTTGGCAGTTCCAGTGCATCAGATGTAGCAGTATTATAGACTTGGGTCACTTGATAACTGTTCTGGGAAATGGACTTCTCTGGTTGATTGCTTGGCTTTGAAGACGAAGCGGTCATCTGAAGTGCAGGTTTGATTTTGAGTTTGGCTATATATTTCCATCCTTTTTCCGTGCGTTAATGTATTCCGCTTCATTACTATGTGTCTTTCCATTGGTAATTGTACAACATGCAGTTCGATATTTTCCTTTCACTTATAAATCAGATTGCTTTATTGGGGTTTCCCCTAATTTAAGGCCTATTTTGAGAAGTTGATGTCTACCAAAATCTAAATACTTAGGACTGATGGTGTGACATCCTGCGTAGAAAATCTCATGCCCTCACAGCAACAAAATGGAGTAGGAGAACATAGACACGGACATATTGTTGAAACTGGTCTCACTTTATTGTATAAGTTGTTGTTTCCCTTCAATTCTGGCTTCATGCCAATGCCACTATAGTAGTTTTAATTGATCATCTGACTGGTAGGTAACTGTTGCTAAATCTTCGTGCATTTAGCTATGCATTCATCCCAGGTTGTAGTTTCAATGATTTTTGAGTTGTTTGCTATCCTCATATAAAGCCTTATCGTCTGCATAAGTTACTATCTATGACTAAACAATACACTTCTAGCATACACATTGGATTACTAAGTGTTTATTTGTCTAGATGATGTAGGACAATGTAAGGTGGGTGTTGCCGATAATTATGGTAGACTAAGTAATATATGTGATTTAAAGCAAGAACGTTTAGGGTCAATGTGATTTGAAAGAAATTGGAAAAATAGAATATAATAGGGAGGACAAAGAGAGAAGAAAGTAAAGGAGGAGGTGTAGCTAGCCTTTAACATGACATACTTTTTCATTAAACCATATTGATTTTGCTTTATAAGGAATAACCTTAGTTATAGGGAAATAGAATTCTCAATGGCTACTGGAAATTTTAAATGGCTCATTAAAATCCTAAAGACTCATCGGAAAGTAAACAAAATAAGTACGAGGGAGGTTAATGAGTTTTCTTATCAGTGTGTTGTGCATTAGCAATGCTGTGTTTCTTCCTTCTTGTCCTGATAAAAAGAATTGGGGTTAGCCAGGAGGCTATTTGCCCTTCCTTTCTTATCTTGATATTCCTTTCCTTCACGCCTTTCGTCCTTATAAGATTATTTCACTAAAGTTCACATTCTTGCTTGGTTGATTTCATGAAAAACTTAAAACCTTGGATTTGTTTAAAAAAAGCCCCTACACTTCATTGTTTCTTCATTGGTGTATACAATACAGCTTTAATGGTGAATATTTGGATCACATCTTACATTTTTCCATTGCGACTCAAATTTGGTGCTTTGTGCTTCATTCCTTTGGGGTAGACAGGGTGATTCCAAGAAATTTTTACTCTTTGCTCTGCAATTTCTTTTTGGTTAATGGTTTTAACAAGATATTGATCACCTTGTGAAACTGTGCTTTTTTAGCTTTTCTTTTTGGTGGTTTGGTGGAGTATAAATAGGGAAACTTTTAGAATAAAGAAGACACTATGGCTTCACCTTAGGACAATCATTTTTTTCTTCTTCCTTGTGGACTTCTAGGTCTAAAACTTGAGTGATATTACCCTTAGTGTGATTCTTCTAGACTGTTCTTCTCTTTGATATTTGATCTCGGTTTGGGTTAGGTGGGACTTATTCTTCTTATTTTGTACAGTCTCTTTATAAAGAATACCTTAAATTAAAAGACTCATTAAATAATAGGAGACTGATAGAAATTAAGTCCTTCTTAGACAAATGAATCATCTCTTAATAGCACTTGACATTAGCTATTGCATTTTTTTTAACTTAAGCGTTTTATAGATTTGAGTATTACAATATATGAAGCAGGACTTGTGGTTTCTTGAAGTTGGTTAGACTATGAGGAACATTCAATCCAATGGCAGTATATCACCACTAGTTTCCTTGTTTGTTATGGACCTAAACCAATTAATAGGGGCCAAGAAACGAGCCACTGTGGCTTGGTCCTCCATAGAAGCTGAATATTGACCCTAGACTATCATAACAGCTGAACTCACCCCAAAATTTTCAGCTATTGAGTGATTGCATATTTTTCTCCCCATGCCAACTGAAATTTACCGTCACTTTGTTCTGGACGATGTTTCACCAAAAGGATTTGGCTATTTGGTGCATTGGAATCCTGCTGTTTAGGGAAGGAAATGTGAGTTGGATGGTTCCAGCTAGTTGTAATTCTTTTTTGTGGGATGGATTCTCATTTGTGTTGTGGGTAAAAGGCCCCCCACCCACACCACCAACCCCGACCATCCCTCCCCACCCACCCCCCCCACCCCCCCCCCCCCGGCCCACAAAAAGTGTTCCTTCCATGCTGGGTGGTGGTTAGAAAGCAAAAATTCTTGGGTTGTTGTGTCAAAAGGATATTTGGAAACTATATTGTGGTAGTTGAGATGGAGTGATGGGATAAAGTTGCAGTCCTTTCCTTTGGGCTTCAGTGGTTTCTAAATTTTGGGATTATCTTTTTCGGCTATTTGAACTGATTAAGAGGGCTGTTCTTTAATACTCAAATTAAGGACCTGCTTGTGGACTGTTGTGTAGCCTGCTTCTTGTATGTTACGGTGGATAGCTGGTCCACAACATTTATAGTTGATCAATTCAAATCAGTTTTCAATAAAGTACGTTTTCGGCACTGATCAGCTTGTTGACATTTTTGCCATTCACATGTCCTCAGCTCATTAAGTGAAATATGAAGCAAACAGATGGTTGGCTCTCCTCCATCTATTTGAGGATGCTGGATAAGAATACAGATAAAGCAGTGCTGTGGTTTTTTAATAGCAACAACTGCTTCAAATGATTGCTATTAATACAGAATATGTAAAGCCTCTAAGTAGTTTGAGAAGAAAAGAGGGTTAACTCAGTTTTGTGATGAATTAGATGAAATTTGGTTGGTTTCCTATGGTCGTTTTTTGTTATCAGAAACACAGATTTATGAGCTGCTGCTAAAGGGTCTGTTGCTTTAAAAATCATTCTATTTGTTCTTTGTCTCCATGACTTGCCCCTACTTATAATTCGACCTTCAAGAAGTTCCGTTTTTTCAATTTTTTTCCTTACACTTTCCTAAAGAGCTTCTTTAACTGGACCTAGTGAGCTTCTTGGCGATCTATTGGGCACCGAGGGATATGACTGAAATTTAGTCTCGCTTGTCAATCGATGATATATATTTCCTTCAGGCAATTACAAAATGGACTTTTTTTAATGCAGGAAATTTTGGAAACTCGGGAGAAAGGCAAGTCTCACGTCTGGACTTTTCGAACTCCAGAAGAAGCATCGGTTAACTAGAAAGAACAATATGGAGATTCAGATGAAGTGGAATGACTGAGATTTAGTCCAGCATTCGTCTAACTTTTCCCCACAATCGGCGAGAGGTCTGCGCGTACAATATCATTTTCCTGTAGAATTTTGTTTATTTTTGTTAGGAAGCTCAAATGATTAATTTGAAGACACACAAACGGGAAGCATATAAACATTTTTGATCTTTGGTAGCAATAATATCAAATATTTTTGCAGTACGTAGAAAGAGAGTATTATCTGATCAAGTTTACACTTGCAAATCATGCAAAATCAGTGCATGCGTTCCCAATGATGAGTATTGCTCACATGATGCGGTTTTGTCTCTTTTTAGTCAACTTGGTTTCTTACCCTTTCTTTTTAAATGCGGTTCAACTTGGTTTTTTGGTTTCTCGATTTTTATGCTCACCCGACCCACCCCTAATTCTTGTGAATATAATAATAGGTTCGGGATCAGCCCGGTTCGGCTCACTTTGACTGTATGACCAAAAACCGAATCGAAGAGTTTTACTCGATTCAGTTCAGTTTTAAAACTATGAATTTTGAGCAAAAGCCAATTTAGTTCAGTTTTATTAGGAGAATTTGGTTTGACTTCAGTTAGTTTTTTGGTTTAGCCTTGGCCCGTTCAATGTGCTGGGCTTCTAAATCCTATTTCCATTTAATTTTTTGGGCCTAATTTTGAGTTTTGGAACAAATTTTCTAAGTTCAAATATTCAAAGTGAAATATAGAGATTGTATCAAAGGTTAGACTTGTATCAAAGGCTAATGGCAGAGAAATTGTAACCGTGTTGATTGAATTTTTGAATAGTATGAATAGGACCCTCAAGGTCATTTGTTAAACGTCAAGCATCAACCACACTTTTGCATTCTATCGATCTAGCTAGCTTTCCATTCTATAGTAGTTAGAATTTATCTTTTTAATTGTTTATTGTTCTTCGCTTTATTTTTAAGTTTATTTAGTACTTCAATTTTTAGCAAAAACGCATGGGCATAAAGCATTATTGACATATCCCTAACTAATCAAATACTCACTCATATTGTTATACTACAACTCAAATTATTTCAACCATAGTGAAGACCTCAATCTAATTGAGAGGACGTTCTGTGGTTTAGAAATATTTGATCCAGTCAATGTAAGTTCTTTGAGAGCTTTCATATAGATTTCCGAATCAAGATTCTTATAGATAAAGTAGCAGAACGTATAACATCCATTACGAGGGAATACATCTCCTTGTACTTAATCCTAGGGTGCTGAGAAGTCTTGTGCCACGATGTATGGCTTATATCACACTATCTCATTCTTCTCATTACGTTTCCTTAAGAAAACTCACTTGCAGCCAACGGGCTTCGCATGTGGAGGTGTTCGAACTACGGGCCCAAACACCTTATGTTTTCGCAAGTGAATCAAGTTCGAACTGAATTGCTTGTTTTTAGTTTGACCAATCAAGTCTATGTTAACATTCATCAACGAAAAACAGTTCAATGTTATCGCTCAACATGATATTAGTAGCTACTATGTATGCAAAGCATCATTGACTATGATCTAATTCTGACTTAAACTAGCATAATGGATTAGAAGTCTCACAATTCTAGGGAAGTGGATTTGTCTCTTCAAGACGCTACGGTAATTTAGAATAACCTCATGCATTGAAGCAGTTGAGTAGGCTATGGCTAGATTCAAACTAGTTTCATTAGGTTGTGTTGTGGGTTTCCTCTTTCAAGTTGTTAATCCTTTGAACCAACGGGTTTGCCATGCTTCAGGATCGGAGTAGATGATTGGCTAGCCACCAATGTACTAGACCTGTAGCAGGTGCAACTAACTGTTGTTCAGGGGTGGCTTGTCTTTCATGCGAGATGTTTTGACGTACTGTGTGGTACATCTATTCTTGTAGCCAAGTTGTAGTAGGTAAATATGACCTTGTCACTTTTTCTAGGTTAGTAAACGCATCTGGCATGTTTTGAGCAACGATCTGTAGATTAAAATACATTGCTCTTCAGTTCCAGACTAGTGTAGTGTGTGGATCTAGATGAGCAATTCATGGCGTTCTTCAGGAACGTTAACATTCTTATCTCCCCCTAACGACAAGAAAACTGTCTTATCAACTGACAATTTGCAAAACATGTTGTAAAGAGATCCTTGTCAAGGGCTCTATATAGCAAATAATTGATGGTGAATCATAATCGACATTGATTCTTATTATTATCTAAGGACTCATTTTGATAACATAGTGGCAACATTGTGGGCACATAGACGGTGCACTCAAACACATGTAAATGCGAGATTTTAGGCTCGTACCCAGTAACCAACTGTAACGATGAAAAATATTAGGTAGCGGTGGGCCTTAGATTGATCAACATAGCTGCGTGCAGAATTGCATAGCCCCAAGCAGAGACTAGAAGCTTGTGTGCATGACTAAGGTTTGAGAGATCAATTGACGGTGCTTTATAAACACTTCTGCTAGGCCATTTTGGGTGTGAAAACGGGGTACATGATGTTCAACTTCAATCCCAATTGATATGCAATAATCGTTGAAAGTCTGCAACATAAACTCTCTGTCATTATCCAGTCAAATTGACTTAACCAGATAACAAGGGTGGGGACACCTAAGCTTTATAATTTATGCTAGGAGTTTCATAAATGCATCATTGCATGTGGACAGTAAGCAAACATGTGAATAACATGTTATTGCATCAACTAACACCATAAAATATTTAAATTGTCTGCAAATATCCCTTGCATCTTCTGAAGTAACTTCAAAGGGAGGTCATGGGTAATCTTTGTATTTGAGGATTGAGTTAACAGTTTTCTCAAAGAGCAAGCTTTACATGGCATATTCTCAAGAATGAGTGTCAAATTTTTGGTAAAGGTTGTCCGCAAGATGTTTTGAGGATACGATGTGTCATATGTCTTCCTAGATGTCCCAAATGATTGTGCCAAAGCAAGCAAGTACTCTGGAACCTGGACTCTTGGCCAGCCACATGGTTTGCTTCCACAACTCATATGGTTGTGATATACAATCCATCTGGAAGGCGTTCCATCTTCTCAGGAATACACTTATAGTTATATTCGTATAAAGTGATACAAAGGTATTTCGAACCATTCTCTTCAGTGATTTTAACATCATAGTTATTCTCTCAAATATCCTTAAAGCTTAACAATGTTCTTACAAAATAGGGTGAGAAAAGGGCATTTTTAATGGTTAATTCAGTACTAATTGACAACAGGATATGGGCAGTGCTATACCCCTCAATTGGGTTGGATGGCCCTAAAAAAATTGTCAAAGGTGGATTTTTATATATGAAGTTAATAAAATAGTGGTGGTTGGTGTGCGTGGTTTCACCATCTTCCATACAACTATCTTCCCCACAAGATATACCTAAAAATAAATTAATTGAATAGGTCACATTTTTAAGGAAAAATTCAAAATTCATCCAATCAATTAATTATCCAAATGTTTAAAACAAAACACTAATTAAACAAAGAATCTAAATATATAGAAAATTATTCGAAAAATTAAACCATGAAAAATAGGGGTCTAACCAGTAGTGGGTTCAGCACTAGGGGAACCTCAGTCAACATATCTAAAAAAACTAACCTAATCTTCCATCATAGCGGATGCCTCCTGAAACCACTTGTGCAGAGTTTGTCTCAATCTTGTAATGATATAAATGATACTTAGCAATAGCTTGAGGGGAAACTTGACAAACGCGGGATCAAAGTTCTTTGGAACCACACCGGTACCATATAACAAGATCATTAGAAGATTGATTGGTTTGAATTTTGCCTTATTCATGTATTTGGAAGCTTAGGCCTCTTTTAGTAGAAGTCTGGTTTGTTGCGTCCCTTGTGGCATCGAGAAGTGGTGGCATGCTCTTCAGACATAGCGTTGAAGCTAGTAGATCTAGCTTAATGATTCTTCATCAAAATTTAGTTTTGCTTTTCAGCAAGTAGTAAGTTAGAGATCAAATACTGAAAACATAGTGAATTTCTATGCCCTATAGTGTTGCTGCATGACAATATTAGTGGCATAAAAAGTTGAATAGGTTTTCTCCAAAATATTTTATTGAGTCAAATCTCATTACAGAACTTCAGAAGTGGTCGAATTTGACAAACTTCAAAGTTATACTCATCCATAAACTTGAAGTCTTAGAATCGTAAATGCTACCAATCTTATCTTACTTTAGGCACAATGATATCTTTTTGGCAAGTAAAGCGCTCTGCCAAACAAGCCAATAGTGTGAAAATCCTCTTTGGCAATATATTCGGTTTGTAATGCATCGTGCATATACGTTCAGATGAAGATCATGGTTGTGGCTTTGTTAGTTTCATCAACCAATTCATCTGTAGGCGGTGAGATGGAGCTTCACATCTTGGATCCACTTTAGATGGTTTTTTTTAGAGACTTTAAGGGACGGTAAAGTCGAGTTTGTTTAGGTTTGACATGACGCTCCAATGGACAGAAGAAATAAAGGTCTACAGATATAAAGTAGAACATTTTGAGTCTATAGACATGGTTTGTTTTAACTTTCATGAAAACTTCAGGTTCCATGGGTGTATGTTTTGTATGAAAACTTCGAGTTTAAAAGCATTGAATTCGAAACTACATGTTCGATTTTAGTTAAACTTCAAGTTCAAAAAATCGGTATGTGCAAGAACACAAGATACAATATACAACTAGTGTTGTGAATTAGGGTTGCTTCGGGGACCCAATTGAGTAGTTTTGGGACTACGAAAGGATGTCAACGGTTCAAGGAAAAATAATAAAATATTGAATTGTAATTTATAAAAGTGTAAGACTAGAAGCAAGGGTGTAATTTGGTGATTTTTTGGTGGTATTTTCTCACTCAATTGTGCCTTTATTTATAGTACTAAGGAAGAGAGAATCTTTGTCTTTCAATTAATACTACAACTAGAAAACTATTTAAAAGATATTATAGAATCCTATACATAATATACTAGGATTTACACAATCATATTCTTGACTAGTTTAGAATTGCAACAACTTCTATACTTGTGAAATAATTTTTGGGTATGTACGGACATTTGTTGGGTTCCAATAGAAGTCTTCTTTCATTTATCACATAAGATTAATATTGAATATTTGTAAGTCATAAATTTTAAGTTCTAATCCTTAATCCCTAAAGCCGGAAAAACTTGATATTTTTGTGGTAGAGACACTTATGCAAGTGCAAATATAGTTGCAATTATAGGTTAAACAAG